AAGTTACTTGGCGGTGGTCATTTCGTTTCTCCCTTTGATGGTTCGCACGCGTTATGTCGGCATCTCCTTTGCCAGTATCCCCCACAATATCGTCAGCGTAGAAGATGGAATCAGTGCTTCTCCGGACGGAGCATACTGCTGCGCGCCAAATCTGTTTGTCGAACATCTTTTTAGCCCGAGGTGTCACTGTGTGCTTACCTTTCACCCAATCCTGACCGTTCTTCCTTTTCGTGACGAGTGACTCTATGGCCATATTGCAGAACAGGAGAGGCCACCGAATACATGACTGTCCCGGACGCCGGCAATCAACAGAGCATTGTTGTAACCTTCGACTGCACTTGTAGTTCGACCGCCAAACAATGGACACCCTCCACCGTAAGCTTCCTCGGCGCTCCAACCCGACGCAAGAACAACCGCTTCGTTTTGTGTCAATGGACAGTTCCCAACATTTGTCCAGCTTGTGGGGTGTATTTTGCGCAAGTATGCTGCTACCGTCTATGTGCTTGACCTTCCGTTACCTTTCAGTGTCCGGGAAGCAGGAAAACATTGTTTAACCTCTTCAAGAACTGTATCGTACTCCACCAAGTTGTAGCGGATTGCAGACGAATAACCAGCCGTCGTATAAGTTCAACATTGCGCTCCACCGCACGAAATCGATCGCACACGTTGAAGAAAATATGTAACGCGCAAAATTTCAAGTTGATCTGGATACCTCTCTGTCGAAGGCGTACCTGAGCGCCGCGTTGCTTTCCTCTGTCGGTGAAGACCGGCCGGTCGTGCAGTTTTATTCCAGCAGCAATGCAATTTGCAAAGAACCACTCGAAGTTGTCAGTGGTCTCCTTGTGAATGAAGGCAATACCGACTGGAATATTCGCCCAGTCACCATCTTTACCAACAATTACTACACATATACCATTGTATTGAGCGTGTTTCATGTGGGTCCCATCGCACTCAAGAATAGGGATCCAATTATCTTGAGCGGCGATTAGTGAGCCAATAGACAAAAACGTTCTGTAGAATCGGCCCTTAGTGTCGAGTTGGCAACATACCCTTGACCCAGGGTTCTGTCTCGCGAAGGATGTCAGGAAAGACGGGATTTTGTCGTATGTGTTTTCTGAATCCTCCATTAACTTCTTGGCTCGTGTGATCGCTTTGTATACTAACGCAAGTCGTTCATCAACATTTACATTGTCGACCACTTTTACCGAGGCCGATACACGCTTTCGAGCGCTGCTTAGTCCTGGGACTAGTGAACTCCTGAATCCAGGCATCTCCATCAATAGTTCTGTTGAGCAGCTTCCGACAGAGTCACAGCTCGGCAAATGCTCAAGGTTCAAAAAAAAAAAAAAAAAGCGCTCACAAACCAAGCTTTAGCAGGGCAGAATGATGTTTTTGAGTTTGCACGCTTCGATTCTGCTTTTTTTGTTAGAGTCACGTGCCATTGACAGAGTGGCGACGTACAACTCCATACTTTCCGATGCCCAGACGACACTGTCTGCTTAATTGACTTATTCTCGTTGAAAGCGTAAGCACGAAGAAACGCTGTGCTGTCAGACGCTGATAGAAATACATCCCTCAATGTTACTGACTGCATCTCATACTTGGACAGAAGGTTAACCTTGCCTGGTTCCATGATAGTTGTAGAGTGAGCGACTATGAATTGACGTGGTACCTGTGGAGTCGTCCTTGCTTCTGACCCAGGATCTTTTTTTACTAGTGAACTTCAACAAGTGTAACCAATCAAACAACATTTATAGGCATGTATAAGCTTTACGGTCAGTTTGAAAAAGTTTGATGTATATAGGGTCAGTTGCAATAATTATCCCATCTAGGCAAGGGCAAGAGCACACGTTAGTGAGCACAACAGTGACATCTAGCCGCACTTAGCATACCTTAGCTCGGCACTGCGTCGTCGTGAACACCTTCACCCTGTTGACACACAGCTGACTCGCTACCAGCGACCAGGCTTCGTTGACTTGCTTTGAGGTCTTTGCGCCTTCAAACCGCGTGGCCATCGTTTTGTACCTGAGCTCGAAGAGCACACGCACGTCTTCGTCATTCCAGGATGCAGCCACCGCATCAACGTCTTGATTTCGTGGCCGCCCTCGACCACGAGTAGCTCGGGTGCTTGGTGGCGACGCCATGGCAGTGGCGTCTCTTTGACTGGAGAGAAAACGATAGTGAATGTGAGGAAAGGACTGGTTTTGATTGAGAGCTCTCCGTGCCATCGCTTTTTGCGGTGGTTTTATGCGAAAACCAGTGATTATTTCCCCGAACAGCCTCTTAGTGACCTGTCTTTTGGTGGATTGGATTATCCTCTGGTGTATTTGTCAATTGTGCTGTGGATTAGTACAGCGTGTTATTTACTGAACTCACAAATCTGTGGATTATTACTATCTCTGTGGATTGACCTCATAGTATTGTGGTCCACAGTCTGTGGAGGTTTTACGCATCCTCCTCAGAGCACTCCATTGTGGCTACCAGATTAAGCAGAATGTGCGTTGTAATTGGTTAGATGATCAACAAATGACTTGTTTTTCGTAAGGCGAGAAGGGTAGTAATGATTGGCTGCGCTCCGAAATGAATTGCAGATTTGAATTGCAAGCATACCATATCACGCTCCCACAACCAAAACGTCCCGCTCTCCCTTCCTCCCTCCGAGAGTATGGACCAGAGTAATGCCCCGTACGGCATGCCTGCCGGCCGCGGGGGTCTACCTGGCGGTATGCCCCAGCAACAGCAGCGCGCGCAGCCAGGCATGCAGCAACACTACAGCATGCAGGACATGATGTTCGACCCGCTGCCCATGAACAACGGCATGTTCCACCAGGCCCCGCACATGATGCATCAGCAGCACCCAGGAGCCCGCGGTGGAGGCATGCAGGGCCTCGGCGGCCTCATGCCGCAACAAGGAATGATGGCTCCAGAGGACGATCTGGACGACCTCATGACTGCGCTGGGAGACCCCGTGGGCATGAACGCGCAACAGCAGCAGAATATGGGGCAGATACCTAGCCACGTCTACGACCAGTCTCACCTCGTGCCGCCACGCTCGCAGGCACCCAATCTCCAACCTGGGCGAACTCAGGGGATGCCCATGACGAGTCAAGCGCCGCCCATGCACCAGAACGGCATGCCAGGCTCCATGCACATGAACCAGATGGCTCCTAATGGCGTCGGAGCTGGAGCACGCGTGGGTGTCGGCATGCACCAGCAACAGAATATGGGTGCACCGTCGACGATTAGCGGTCTCGGTAGTCTCGGTACTAGCATTCCGGCTGCCCCTCGCCAGGCAGCCGTCGCGCCTAGTGCCATCGTCCCTACTACGACCTCCAAGTCAACAACCTCCCGTGCGTTGACGACATCGAGTAACAACGGTGGAAGTAGTGATGAGGACGGCAACATGGGAGAAGACGACGCTCAGAAGAAGAAGGAGCGCCGTCGACAGCAGGTCCGCTACGCCTCACGTCGTCGTCG